ATTATCTTCTGCAGGCCAGTTAGTTCTACGTCAGCCTGAACACCTAAATTCAGCCAATCATATATCAACGGTCATCTGTCAATCAAATGCTTTCGGTCATAGCATCTTGATTCATGTGTCGCAGCTAATATACGCAACGGTTGAAATCGGAATCCTTTCCTTTCCCATTGAGTTGCGTCCCAGTGTTCACGGGGATGGACGTCTGTGTCTTCGGCAGGCGTAGAGCTAACAGAACTGGCAGCGTTGCGAGGCAAGGGCTCAAACATGTACGGCTGGAAGCCTTCTACACCAAACCAAGCTTCTGCCGCCCTGGCGTCCTCTTCCACAACATCTTGGTCCCCGCTTTCCTCCTCTAAATAAAAAATGGATGACGGAGGAGACTCATCCACGACCTCCGACACTAAACTCTCCTCCTCTTGCATGTTTCCTCTGTCCATAGCGTTCCTTGACAGCGTCGTTTCTAAGGCACCAATTTAGTGCTACTTGGTCCCAATGGAATTTCCCATTGGGAACCTGCTAGCACTAAGTTGCTAACTGGTTAGCAAGATGCTTCAGAGAAACCGGCCACAATCAAACTTGCTTGCGAACCTTCCGCCACAACAATCCCGCCCCCTTGATAATCGACCAATCACATTCACTTTATTCACTCGTGTAAAGTCGGGCACCACTCGGGAGAATTGCAGAATGCAACAGTTGGAACGGCCGCTTCCCTACGACTTTAAGGTGCTTTGCCAGTTATAAAATTTGTTGTTTTATTCACTAATCTACTGTTAGAAATGTACATGTTTGACAATCTGCATTACGTATCGGAGACAGAAATCATGAACTTTTCATCTTATTGGTCAGCAGGCATCCCTAAAGTCGGTCCTGGAGGGCCGCTGTCCTGCAGGTTTTAGAGGTTTCTCTGCTTTAGCACAGCTGATGCTGATGATTGCAGTTCAGCAAAAGCCTGTTAATCAACTATTAATGTAAATCAGCTGTGCTGGAGCCAGAGATGGGAAGTAACGAAGTACAAATACTCCGTTACTGTACTCAAGTAGATTTTTCTGATATTTTTACTTTACTTTAATACTTATTTTTATGGCGACTTTTTACTTCTACTCCTTACATTTTTACACAAATATCTGTACTTTCTACTCCTTACATTTAAAAAAATTGTCTCGTTACTTTAGTTTTGAATCATTTCAATGGAGTTACCGTTATTATTTTTCACGTCATCAATACCAAATTCAATCTAATTGGATGGGAATCTACGTTGCATTTGACGCACCACTACAAGATGAATCGATAGATTCGGCGGTATTCATTGGCGGCAAATCATTGCAGCTTGGTGGCGGTGGCGTTAGCATAGTAGCATGGACGACGAGATGATTGAAAATGAACACAACGGAGACCTAGTCCTATTGGCAGACATCCATTTAAAATGTAGGCAACGGCATGAAAAAAGTGGTTTCTACTTTTACTTTTATACTTTAAGTAAATTTACAAGCCTGTACTTTGTTACTTTTACTTGAGTAAAGAAGTTTAATCAGTACTTCCACTTTTACCAGAGTATTTTTTAACACAAGTATCTGTACTTTTACTGAAGTACGGAAAGTGAGTACTTTTGCCATCTCTGGCTGGAGCAGAGAAACCTCTAAAACCTGCAGGACAGCGGCCCTCTGGGACCGACTTTAGGGATGCCTGGTCTACAGTCTGATATTTAAATCAAACAAATCCCTGCTGCTGCAAACCCTCAAAGATAAATTTTAACTATTACTTATAATGCTTATCCTATTGCCAGATATTATCTGGCTCCATACGATAGCTAGGAATTTAACCTATTAAAGGATGTAACGTTTATAAGTATTGGATATTCATAAGCGTTAGGATTAAGCTGCAGACACACATTTCAGTTTTGTTAGTCCTACTCTGCCAAATGATGCTTCTATTAACGAAAGCAACTCCTTCCCGCAATACATGAACATCTTTTCCTTACCAGAAGTTGCAGAATGTTATCAAGATTTGTGTGTCCACTCTGACTTTAATTGTCCCTGTCAAGTTATGCAAGGAGAAAAAAAATAAAAAGGGTCTCTTCCTGTGGACTTGAGTGAGTGAGTGTGTATGGCGGTGCGTGGATGTTGTTGAATCAGACTGGAATGACTGTTTCCCGTCTCCCTGGATCAAAGAGGGAGAGAGACGGACAGAAAAAAAGTATTTCGAAACACAAAGATTTAAGTAAGTATTAACATACTTTATTTGAGATAGAAGTCTTGGCGTTTTAACCTTTTTTCATCTGCATTTCTATATTGTTTTTATATTAATCTTAACAGTTTTCATTATATGCTTCACGTAGAATCATCTGACATAATCTAAAGCATAACTAACCTTTTACGTCTCTTAATAGAATCGGTTCTTCTCTTTTTCAACCGGATCTCATTCTTTTGTTCTCTTTCCAAGAATTATTTGTTAGTTTTCTCAACAAAAAAGATAACTTGCTCATGTATTGAGGGAAATAAAAGTTGCTTTCACCTTTAGGATATTAGAGTTTAGGTAAAATCCAAGTAACATTTTGTACAAAAACATTTCAAACATAACTCTCTACTTCTGTATCTTATTGTTGAGCGAATAACCAGTACTTACCGTAGGGAAGAGAAAATCTCACTTCACTAAACATCTGGATTATTATGATGATACTGGTCTGAATGTCATAGTTTCACTTTAAGTTTATACGGAGGTACATCTAGTGCACCATTTAAAGGGTACGTAGAATCTCTACTTTAAGGAAATGTATTGTTTTTAAATACTGCAGACTTCTTTTTAATTTATTTGATGTTCTAGACAGTCTTAATTTGAGTTTTTCTGATGTAATTACTTTTAGCAACTTTCTTTGCATCCTATAACAGTTGTATTCCATATAGTTTACAAGTAAACGTTAAGTTTACAAAAAAAATCCAAATCTAGATAAGTCATTTTTTCCTTCAAATAAGTGCATTTGTTCTTGAACTGAGGAGATAACAGAGACAGTTTGCCAGTAGAACAAGACAACTGCATGTTATCTAATTATCTTATTTCAAGAGTAAAAACACCCATTCCATTTGCAAATAATCTTATTTATCACCAACGCGGTGCCCTCACCGAGTCTTCTAAATAAAGAACAACCCACCAGTGGGCTTAGTTTGAAATTTTATTTTATTTTGTTGCTCTTCTTTTTAATCATTTATAGAGATTTCAAAATGACAATGTCTAAATAAACTTAGGAATTAACAGAAACAATAAAAATATGTTGATAACGAACAAAGTTTAGGCTAACGCTAACCCTTGCAGCTCATGGGTCAGTAATGGTCGCCCTTCCTAAGTCTCGGTACCCTTGAAGTGGCCCTCAGCCTTAAAAAGGTTGGTGACCCCTGAACTAAAGGGTAAATACACTCCTTCTTTTCGCGTTGTTAATGCAGAGTATGCAATTAAAACCTGGTCCAAGTTGTTTCCTGCAGCGGGGAGGCTGGGAAAAAATGTGGTCTGGAAATGTTTGATCTTTTACATTTCAACCATTGATCGATTAATACATCATGTTTATCAAACTTGACAAAGAATGAAGTGATGAATAAAGAAACTGATATATGAAACATCTGTAGATCTGTAGGGCTGAATCTTTATAAAAGGTAACGACGTGTGTATGACGTCATCGGCGCGCCGGACTGGAGTTGTGACAGGCAGCTTCCTACAGCTGTCTTAAACACTTCATAAGTTCAGCCCTGCATCATCAGACATCTCATAGCCGATAACCGATATCGATACCGATGTTAAAGCTGGACAAAAATAAGTAGTCATTGAAAATAGCAGTTTTGTTATACATTTCTGACACTTTGAAAAATAATATACTCAAATATATTTTCATATGCTGATATCAAATAGATTTTTAAAAACGCGGTATCGATCTATTTTACTTTCAAAATCTCGTGAAATTTCATCGTTCTGTCACAAACTCTCGTGATATTTTGCAAATTCTTGTGAGATTTTGTTAGTAAAATAGATCGATACCGCGTCAATATATCAACATATAAAAATATGGCAACATTTCGTGAATTTTCGGGGGATTTCGTAGCATAACGATGACATATAGCAATATTTCATTAGTAAAAGAGACTGATATGGTGTTTTTAAATGGCAATATATCAGCATATGAAGATATTGGGATATTTTAATGGATCAATATTTTTTCCCTCGTCTTTAGAAGTTTTTAAGTCTGTAAAAAAGAAGTTTTTGAGGAAGAAGAAGAAGTAGTATATATTTTTTTTTTTAGACTTTAGAAACTCAGAAGCTGATCAAATATCGGGTTAAATATCGGTGGGGTGGCCGATGTCCGATATTCAGTTTTAAGGCCGATACCGATAGGGGGCTGATTATATCGTGCATCCCTAGCTAAAATCTTAGCTTATAACCTGAGTACGTGCAAATCAGCAATTAAGAATCTTGTTTTTGCTGAGATTCGTACGTGACCTCCAGCATGTATTACTAATGTGGATAAAAGAAAGAGGCCTCTATAATTATTTATATAATTTAAATCCATCAGCACTGAATCTACGTGTATTCTGCTAATATCATTTGTTAAACGTTGGTATTAGCTTCTTTGGTTGTTTGGGTTGGTACTAAGACCTGCAGAAAAAAGAAATCATGCATCTGCGTAAAGTTTGAGAGAAGCTAGCCTGGCTACGATCAGACCCACATCAAGATGTCGGGGAAAGCAGAATAAAGCTTTAGCCTCGCTACATGCAGTTAGCCAAGCCCTGTTGCTAAATAATGCTATAAACCTGTCCATCAGACCAGCGCTGTAGCAGGAGATGTTGTGCAAATAAAGCATGTAATAAAGAGTGAACTTCTTGATGATTCTGTCATTTTTTAAGCCGTATCTTTATTAACTCAGACACGCAGCAGATGAAGAATTTTTCTGGCCTCATCATCAGATCCTGATTTTGTTTGTTTTCTTTCATGCAGCTTCTCTGAAAGTGCGTGAGGATCTGAGCAGCGGCCATGTTTTACAGTCGCCTGCTGTTTTCGCTGTACATCCTCACCTTCCTGATGGGGGTCCCCACCAACATCCTGTCCTTCATCACCCTCTGCAAGAAGGTGTGTCGCAAGGCGGCGCCCATTGATGTCCTCCTCCTCAACCTCACTATCTCAGACCTCATTTTCCTGACCTTCCTGCCCTTTAAAATGAAGGAGGCGTACGACAACATGGCGTGGCTGATGCCCTACCCTCTTTGCCCGCTGACTGGGTTCATCTTCTATGTCACCATCTATAACAGCACGCTGCTGCTCACAGCTGTGAGCGTGGAGCGCTACCTGGGCGTGGCCTTCCCCCTCAGGTACTCTGTGTGCCGCCGGCCTCGCTACGCCGTGTGGGCCTGCTTGATCTTCTGGGTGGTGACCTCCTGCAACCTCAGCATCGTCTACATCCTGCCGTACTCCCAGTGGAGCTACAGCAGCAACGCCAGCGGGCCCGTCCCACCTCCAACCACCTGCTACCGCAACTTCTCAGAGGCTGAGCTCAAAATTCTTCTGCCCGTTCGCCTGGAGCTTTTCCTCCTCCTCTTTTGCATCCCCTTCATCATCAGCTGCTTCTGCTACGTCAACTTCATCCTCATTCTGTCTCGCCTACCCAACATCAGCCGGCGGCGGAGGCTGAGGTGCATCGGCCTGGCGCTGGGGACGCTGATAGTCTTCGCTGTCTGCTTCGGGCCTTACAATGCCTCCCATGTGGTGGGATTCATCCAACACGAGAGCCAGGAGTGGAGGAATCTGGCGCTGCTCTCCAGCACCCTCAACGCCTGCCTGGATCCATTTATCTTCTACATGTCGTCCACGGCGGTCAGGGGCATGTTAAACCGCTGCTTCATGAGGATCACGGCTAAGATGCACATCCTGGGGTGTAGAAGGAGGCCCGCGCCCTCCGCAGCATCATCTGCAGAATAGTGAAGGACAAAAGAACCCGACATGAGCGACATATTTATGAACTTGACTTAATGCCGTTCATGATGAGGATGAAAGAAGTTCTGCACACTGTTCTTAAACCAGTAAACCTCTGTGAAAAGCAGCTGATTTCCCAAATCTGGAGCTTAGTTGCTGCGTTTCTAGGTAGCAAATCAAAACTTGAAACTGTGGCTTTAAAGTTCTGTTCTGGGATCCCAAACCATTGCTCAACGCTGCCACAACAATAACTACCATAAATAAAGTTTTAATGTATCTGGAGAAATCCGTTCTCCTAGCTGGTATCCAATGTCTTCATGACTCGACTTCTCCGTCTTCTAAAAAGTCTTCATGCTCTGCCTTATTTAATCACCAGATGGACGGCATGTTTGCTCTCACACCAGCTGCTTGTTACCGGCAGGAAACGGCCGTAATCCGACCATCATGCAGTGTTTGAAGTCCTCTGAGAGCAGAGAGAGTCGCCGTTTACAGCCGGGGCCTGAACACACCGCGGCGTAATCTGTGTTTACACCACCTGCCAGCTGATACGACCTCCTCAGCTTTTTAATTGGCCAAATCCGCTCATAAAACCCTTTGCTTTAATTTGAAAGGGGGACTCTGTTCCTCTTAGAATCACAGACGGATGTTTGACCAGATGTGTTTCCAGAACTTCTTCAGAAGCAGTTTTAGGAGGAAACGCCAAACTAAACACTCTCCTACCTGAGCGGAACCTGTCCGGATCAGGAAACTTCTCTGGAGATCCACAGCCGCTCACTTTTTCACAATCAACCCCAGAACCAGAAACATCTTCATCATGTTTCCCATCGTTCCTTCCGTCCTCTGAGGATCCAACTCCACCATCACTTCCAGCTGTCATTGAGTCTAATACTTTTAAGCCCTCCAAAGGTCAAAGGTAATCTTCAACCGGCTGGAAACTGGTCCGTCCAGCAGCTGTACCCTCCTCTTCCTTCTCAGTCAGGCCTTCAGATCATGGATGTGGTCTTTAACCCTTTATAGGGCAAGTTAGTGTTTCTGATCACATGCATACCCCTTACAAATGGAGTCCCCCCCCATCCCTCAGTGAGGTCTAGATGCACAAGATCTATATCCAGACATTCAGCAAAGATCCTGCTACATGGCTGTCAGCTTATTTTGGCATTTGACCAATTAGATGAGCATTGAATGATAGATTACCTACTGGAAATTAAGTTGGATACCTCAAGGTAAAAAAGTTAAAAAGTTAATAAGCCTAGTTAACAATTATATTTAGGCTTATAAACAATAAAATATAGGTGCTAGTATCAGCATTAAAGGAATAGTACACCCAAAACATGATTAGTCTTCATTTTCTACTCACCCCCATGCTGAACAACACCCTGGAGTACTTTTTTGATATTGTCGTGCTTTACCTTCCGGTGGCGTGGATGTTCTGATGAAGCACACGACAAGGAATCTTCTTGAACTGAACTTTACTTTCTCCAGCAACAGGTGAGTTACAGACACAGCTGATGGTTTATACACTGCGTTGTTTGGCCTCTAGCTCTGGCACAGACAGCGTTTTAGCAGTGTCCGTACAGTGAGCCTTACAACCAGAATCATAACAACGAAAGCTCTCGCGATGATAAGGTTAACTAGACGACCGTGTTGCATTTACTGACTTAACACTAGGCTCGGAGAAATCAAACCGAAAACAGAATAACAGCCTTACACTACCCCCCCTTTTCAAGACTACTGAGTCCCTTCAGTATCTTTAGGGTAAAGAAACAACTCTGGTAAACAGAAATGAGTCCAAAATTACAAAAAAACAAATACCATGGGGCGATAAAACTAACCAATCCCCTGGTTACTTTTAGTTTTAACATTTAAGTTTTAACCCATAACATTTAGCTCAGTATAACTTCTACTAGTGTCTGAATCTCTCTGGTCGATTGACTATGCGACCACTCGATGTTTTAAAAGTCTTTTCTGAAGATTCTTCATCACCTCGTCTGCCTCCCTGGTGGTACGCTGGACCCTTGGGTTGAACAGTCTGACCTGAACCTTCATCCTGCGATGCCTTGTCCGGATCGTCTGGCAGTGGTAGCACTGGCGCCAAAGGAACATCCTCCGCATTTAGATGGTCTTGATCCTGGCACTGTTGCAGTATTTTACTCCTTTGATGTGAAACCCAAACTGGTATCACCTCGCTGTCATAGGGCTTGAGTCTGTCATGTTGCATTATTGTCCTGTGCTTGGGACCTTGGATCTCATACAGTACAGGACCACGGTGTGCTGCCACAATCAGGGGACCCCTCCATAACGCTTGAAGCTTTGGGCTAAGTCCCTTCTTTTTTGTGTCGTCTTTGACGAACACTAGATTGCAATTTATAAAGCTTTGAGGCTCTATGCAACGCACAGCTAGTGGCACAACATCATCCACGTCTTCTTCAAATTTTTCCCACCACTCATGAATTCTCTGGCAGTACTTGCACCCTCTGCATGGCAGATCTGCCAGATTTACCCCTGCTTGGTAACAGTCACATTTTTCCATATTTTCTTTTGGCAGCCTTGACATGGCATCTGCATTAGCATGCTGCTTACCAGCTCGATGCTCAATGTGGAAGTCGTACTGGCTCAATTCTTCAAGCCAGCGAGCTAGCTGTCCTTCAGGGCACTTGAACCGAAAGAGCCAGGTGAGACTGCCATGGTCGGTCCGAAGTAGGAACTTTCTTCCTAGAAGATAGTGGCGGAACTGACGTGTGAAACGCACAACAGCGAGTAATTCACGACGTGTGACACAGTACCTTTGTTGAGCTGGCGTAAGCTGACAGCTGGCATAGGCCAAAACTCTCTCTTCTCCCCACTGGACCTGTGACAGGACAGCACCGACACTGTTGTTGGAGGCATCAGTATCGAGAATAAACTTGCCTTCAGGATGGGGATATCCCAGCACAGGTGCAGTGGTCAGTCTCTCTTTGAGCTTAGTAAAAGCAGCCTGATGTTCCTCTGTCCATACAAACTCACTCTCCTTTTTCAGAAGATGATGAAGGGGGTTTGCCAGTTCTGCAAAATTTGGGACAAATTTGCGATAGTAGTTGCATAGCCCCAGGAACGCCTGTAACTCTTGCAGATTTTCAGGGGATTTCCACAGCTGTACATCTTTGACAAGAGCTGGCTTCGGTCTGATTCCTTCTCCACTCACAATATGGCCGAGAAACAGGACTTCTTCTTGAAGCAGGTGACATTTTGATGGCTTTAGCTTAAGCCCATGGCTCTGAAACCTTTGAAAAACCTGCTCGAGACGATCTAAGCTTTGGTCCACTCCGTTTTCAACGACAATGACATCATCCAGGTAAATAAGGAGGGTTTCCCATTGAAGGCCTCTAAGGACAAACTCCATTGCCCTTTGAAAAGTACTCGGAGCATTACAGAGTCCAAATGGCATTCGGGTGTATTCATAAAGGCCCCATTTTGTAATGAAGGCTGTCTTTTCACGATAGTTTTTGTCTACTGCAACCTGCCAGTAACCAGACTGGAGGTCTAGTGTAGAGAACATGGTAGCTCCCCCAACAACATCAAGGCATTCCTCAATCTGAGGTAGCGGATAAGCATCCTTGACAGTCAAACTATTTAGACTGCGGTAATCTACACACCACCTTACTCCTCCATCTTTTTTGTGTACCAGGACCACTGGAGAAGCCCATTCAGAAACTGATGGCGTGATTACCCCGGCTTCTAGCATGGATTTAAGATGTGCTTCCTCTTCACCCTGAAATCCCAGAGGGGTTCGCCTAACAGGTTGGCGTACAGGTCTAGCAGAACCAGTGTCAATCTTATGTGTAACAGCAGACATGTAACCAAGATCAGTCTCATCTTTAGCAAAGATGGACTGGTATGAGAGTAGCAGTTGAATAAACCGCTGCTGTTGTTCTTCAGTTAGAGCTTCACTTGTAGCAACAACCAGGCCTTGGAGATGCTCAGGAATGTCAGAAATTGTTGCTACTCTTCCCACTAGCAATGGTGATGCACTCTCTTCCATACAACTAGGCTCATCATTTTGCTCCAGTTCACATGTGGGTTCAGGAAAAGCTTCAACGAGGACTCCAAGGCATGCTCCTTTTGGTAAAGCTGTTCTCTTGGTTGAAAAATTGCACACTCTGACAGGCACTTTTTTTTCATTGTGACGACGACGCTTGCAAGGGCCACATTTTCTGCAATGTCTGAGGGCTCTAGCACTGCTGTAACATCCGGCCTTGGCTCCTCCACTTCCCCCCACACAACACATTCAGATGTAGCTGGTATGATGATGGTTTCCCCAAGAGTCACTCTAGCTACACAGTAGTCTGACCCATAGTCACGGACAATTTTTGAGGGCACTAGTTCACCTCCAATAAAAACCTTCCCACGGGTATAGATGACAACATCATGGGCTTTCATCAGATCCAATCCAAGGAGAACAGAGTCTCTTATTGGAGCGACATGCACATCCCATTTGAAAGTCTTAGATCCAATTTCAAACGTTACTGTGAGTCCATGTTTGGCTTTCATGCAATCTCCAACTCCTGCATTCAGTAGGTAGGTCTGGCGAAGCTCTACAGGTGCTGTTTTGCTTTCCAGGAGACTTTGGTACAGCTCTTCCGATATCACAGTTGTTTGAGCTCCTGTGTCTGCCACTGCTTGTGTTGAAATGCCATTTATGATCAGAGGAACTTGTAAACTCTCACCTCTCTTCTTGGTGCAGCCAATCTGCCGTCCTTGTAATTGTGGATCTGTGATAGGGGCTCCATCTGACTGCAGCATGTGGTCTGTAGGCGTTCCATTATAATTACATGCCACAGGGCTGGGTGGCCTACCACAGTCCTTTCTGAAATGTCCTGTCTCTCCACATTTAAAACATGGACCAGCTGCTCCACGATTTGGGCTTGGTGTTTGTGAGCGCCCTCTGTTGTTTTGCACCTGTTGGTAACTTTGCTTTCTTTCTGGTACAAAGCTCTGGGCTGCTTTTGGCTGTTGGGCTCTTGTGTTGC